TTTATATTAAATATTTAAGTTTATTGATATCGAAAATTATTTGGATATCAGCCTAGGATAGCATTGTGGCTATTCATGCCCCCGCTAGCTCATCACTATCTATGGCATCAATCGAATGGTACGCAGATTAAAATACAGGCCAAACTGCCGAAACTCTAAAGGGTAGCCCGCCTGGAAGTAATTATATTGCACTGGAGATGATGATTTGGATGCTATCACTGCACCTCTATATGGCGAGTGGAACTCGGTTAACAGATTACCGACTTCATAATGGCGAGGACATGGCAGGGCGGCAGCAGTCCCACAGAACTCACAGAAACTTCATTGCGGGTGATCTTATCCTGAGAATAACCATATTGAATTTCTGTCTGCCGCGGTACAACTTTGTTAGGGTGGTTCACGAACTAGGTCAAGAAGGAATCTGTTTGAGAGCCAATATAGAAAGAGAGTTTAAAAATTGTACTACCTATTTATTTTTTTGGACATTAAGCCGGCGAGAGTTGCAAACGACTCAAGTTGCATCCAGGTTGGAGTTGCTTTACTACACTTTGGAATTAGCATCAGGACGATATTTTCATTTGGATGACCAGCCACAAAAGACATGTGGGCAACAAGGTTTCCAATTGGCTGGCGGCGATGGGTCTATAGTAATTACATTTATATAAAATATTTTATTTTATGCTATTCTTTAATAAGTTACGATATACATATAATATAATATTAAATATAGTTTTTATAGTGACCTGACCAGAGTTGAAAAATTACCATTTAACAATTTTTATTAAAATTGTCATCCACGTCAATAAGTACTCACTCAAATATTTTTTCGCTGTTCTTTAATTAAAGTTCATCTAGAAAAGATGAGTTACGTATTTTGCAATAGAATCCTATAGCAAGCTTCGTTTGCTTATTTGATTGCGTAATATTGTCAAATTCTGCTGAAAGTGTACGCTATTTCTGTTCTACTATTAGTCGGAAAATGTCATAACCTGAGGTTGTCAAATATGTTTACAAGAGGTACCGTTCGAAAGTTCAATTTTTGTAGGAACAGGTTTCCAAAACCAGGTTTTGCGAAATGCGAAACCTAAGGAAATTTAAAAACGGAGTGAAAAGAGTAGTTTGAATATAATTGTTTGGTACCGTGTGTAAGTTCTGTTAGCTGGCTTTTGCCTCCGAATTCTGAAGAAAGTTCCAATAGCTTAAAAAAAGAACTATACCGATGACGTTGAAAACCTCTACAAATTTACAAATATATGTCTCCATTGGAATACATATGTGTAAAGTTTTATTATACGTTGTGTATTCCAATTTTAAATTTTTCAAAAATCGACGTTACACTATCGCAGATCTTGAAACAGACCATTGGGAAGACCTACCAAAAAATCGCAAAGCCTTATAGAGATATAGAAAAAACTCTGCATAATATCCTACAAGCTTAGAATATATCAGGGATTATGGTTATGTGGCATTTTGTTTTTATTTATTTAAAGACTTAAATTTTAATTTTTTTTTCCCAGTTAAGTGTCATCTTGCAGTCCACCACGAATTAGAAATCTCTGTTATAAATTGCAATAAGTTTCTGTTATTGTTTCGCTCACTTCCTGGTTGCTTTATCACAAAATTTTTATAGAAAAGTAATAATGTAACAATTATCGCGGTCATATGCTAGTTTCTGAGATGAGTTTACCTATAAAATTTACAACTACGCATTATAGATTTGGAACTTAATGTTGCGTATTTGGTGCGTTCCAGAAACATCTCAAATATTTCATTTTTATTTGAGACTCAGTGAAATATTTTTGTTCTATTGAGTATGGAGTTCATAACCATTTTAAAAAGTCCTCTACAATATATTCTTGCTCAGCATAAAATTCTCTGTTGATTTAATCATGTTCGCACCTGACTAAACTAATGCTAATATTTACGCAAGGTTGTTGTCCAAAATTCGACAAAATATTTATTAACCTGCTAAATATTTAAGTTTATTGATATTTATTGTTCACTTTTGTTGGTTCGATATCGAATATTATTGGTAATTGTAATTGGCTCATTTGTCCTTGGATAGCATTGTGGCTATACACGGCCCTTGCTCCGCCTGACAGGTGCAGTGGTGGCCAATCGTGACCTACGCATCTACCGTGTGGTCCCTTAATGTTCAATGGACGAGTGTGTAGGTCAAATTGCAAAAGCTAGTCTGCCTAGAAAGTATAGTAGGGGCAAGACGGCTCTTATCACTGTGCTGAACACGATGATTGGGTGCCCGCTACTACACCTCTATATAGTGGAGGAAGCTAGGTTAACGATGTACCTACTTTTCTCTGGCGAGGACGACGCAGGGTGGAAGCTGACCCACAGAATTTACAGAGACTTTTTATTAAGGATGATCCGGTCTTAGGAATAACCATGTATACAGGATTCACGCCTGACATGGTAAAAATTCAACTGAAGGTTAGACAGGATGGTTATCCAAAATTCGACAAAACATTTTGTGGGCAACATACACATTTAATCGATCTTAATTTACGATTAGATTAAGTCAATAACATTAATAGTCCTTTTATGACCATATCTGGATACCTATGTCCATAAAAAAGAAAAGTCAAATAAACCGCGTACCTATCAGAAAAAATATTTCGAAAATTGAACTTGATGTGTGACAATTAATAGATAAAAATTTCTTGCTAATAACTTTACCGCATATTTTTTGACTGGTTTGTAATTTAATTTAGACTGCAATGGAAAACAAAATGTCCGCCGGAAAATTTTTTTAAGGCATTCCCATGGGAGGCTAATTAAATTTGTTTTCTTCTCGTTTACTTTCCCGTTTACTGCCATAATAGCAGTTGTTTATCTTTGTTACCAAATATTTTAAAAATAATTGTTTAAATTATTTAGTTATTTTTAAATTTTCTTCTTTATTTATTACCAATAAAAATTAGGCTTAATATTTTATTTAATATTTATTTGATTTCTCTTTATTAATTGTAATCCTTATGTGATATTACGATATCAATTTAAAAACTGCGTATTTTTATTCAAGATTACCTTTGTTAAAGTCATTTTCGTATTGTTTTTTGGTATATAATTAAGCAAACCTTAAGTTATACAATTCAAAAATTAAAAAATTTATTATTAAAATAAATTTTATAATAAATTTGCATTTTTTAAAAATTTTTTAACTAGATTTCAAAATTATCACAATGAAAGAATTATAAAAACATGCATAATATAATTAATTAATTTTCATTAATTAAATTGTTTATTATTCATAATTGTTTCAATTTAATATTATTTTTTTGCTATAATGGGTATCACATAATAAAATATTTTATTTACATTCTTATTAAAGCATATACATACATCTTTTCATACCAGATATGTACACGCATACATCCATACATATACTGTATAAAATATTAATTAACACGCCATTGCGTATTTTTTAACTTTTCAAATACATAAGATTATGATTACATGAAAAGTTTTTACAAAACAAAACAGAAATACCTACATACTTGAATAATTTTTATTTTCATTATTACTTATACCAATAATACTTATTACTCGTATTTTATTTATTATATTTATTATTATCTAAATGGTCATTATTTAAAATGCATTATGTCTTGTTTATTATCCATTTATTCGTCTTTGATGTTATTTTTATTGCCACATCTTCTTATTATTCTTCTTCTTCTTCTACTACTTTTTGTTCTTCTTATATGAAAGGCAGGCAGGTATTTCAATTATATTGTATATTATATTTTTTAGTAATCTATTGACATATTGGTTTAGATGAATATAAAATTACCAAATAACATTAGCACTTTAAACACGCAATATAAATATACATACATATATACTATATATAATATAATTTATGTTAATGTGTGTATGTATGTACATAAATTTCCAATTCGTATCTCTTAAAATTATTTTACATGTATGTAGGTAATTTTGTTTCTGTAAATTCGTTTTTAATATATGTATATACATTCATATGTAGGTACTTATTATCCTGGAAAAGGATATGAAGAAAAGTTTTTGTATTCAATATACAAAGTACATATAAAATACAAAAAGAAACCAAAATATAACAATAAAAAAAAATTGAAATTTATATTAATGTTATCAAATTTTGTTGCTTATTTTTTTTTTTTTTGGAAAAAACTTGTTTTAAAAAATTATAATGTTATTGAAATTACAATATCCTTTTACACCACGCCTGCTTTTATATACCATTCAAAAAACAATATAAAAAAGCCGTTTATTTTAGTTTAATGCGCTGTTTTATTTACATATACATATACATATACACATAGTAGAGTGATTTTAACCACACCCATTTTTAACCAATAACAATTCAGAGGATATTAACAAGAAAAAAAATAAGTCCTTTTTTATTTCCTTTTAATTCGTTTGAAATGTTTATCAATGATAGTTTGGATTATTCGCAGCAATCACATCGAAAAATATAATAAAATTATTTTTTTTTTTAAATAAAAAATTAATTATAGTTGATAACTTCAATTTAACAAAAATTAATATATTATTATACACACATACATACATACTTATATCCTTATTAATTTATAAATTTAAGGTTGAGATTATTTTATTAGAGAATGAAATGACAATAATTTTGTTTTTTTTTTCTATTATTTTTTATGTTCTATGTTCTCTTCTCAGTTAAAGAGAAGTTAAAATTAAGTGATGTGATAAAGCAATTTTCATTTGAGTGAACGGTTGTATTTTATAAACGAAAAATTATAATAAAATTTTTAAATTTTAAATATTCTATAGAAATTAAATAGTAATAATTAAAATAAAATTGAAAATGTTCAGATATAAAATTTTCGTTTTTATTCTCTTATAAGTGTAAATTAAAAAAATAAAATTTGTAAAAAAATATAAAAATTTTAACATAAAATACATTTTTAAGTGTTTAAATTTTAAAATTAATAAATTAAAAAAAAATAACCAAAACAAGAAAAATCCAAATGACATCAAGATTATCACAATTATTACAAATGCAAGAATTACAGGAACAACAAGAATTTCGAAATTTAAATATTAATAAAATTGAACAAAATCAACAGTCATCAAATACAGCAGTATGTGAAACAACTAGTTCTTGTAATAATATTAATAATAATATCGATATGAAAGATAATATTAATTTTGATGGTAATAATAGGGAAAAATTAGTTTTTCCATTTACAAAATCATTTAAAAAAGAACCGAAAATGTCATTTTATATTGATGCTTTACTTGCAAATAGTAAAGGTCCATTAATTAAAGAAAATCATCAAAATACTGAAAATTTAAGTAATATTAATATAAATAATAATAATAACAACAGTAATAATAATAATAATAATAGTAACAATACTAATAATAGTAGTGATCAAAATGATTTGGTTGTTTTATCAATGTCAGAACAAAATCGTGATATTAGATCACATGGAAGTTCAACGTTCATATCAAATACAGAAACAATTTTACCTAGGTATGAATTATATTTTAGAATAATAATTATGTTTTTTTAAATAAAAAACAAAAGTTAAAATTAATTATGTCAAAATTTTTGTTTACTTATTTTAATTTTTTAAGAATTTGGTAGTTTACTTAAACTGTTTATTAGATTTTAAGTTTTGAATATTATATAGCCAAAAATTATTTTGAGTGAAAAATTATTTGAGAAGAAAGAGTTGACTCGTCTAGAATATTATTTATAAATAGTCATGCTATTGTTGTGTTTTGACAGTGTCCAATTCTCTTTACCGAATATGAGCATATTCTTTTAAAACACTTTTCAAATTAAAAATGGAAATGTATACAATATTGAAAAACACAATATTACAAACTTTTAGCAATAAACAATTCCGTTTCTAATTACGGATAATCTAAACTTATGCGAGACATAGGAATATATTGCTCAATGTTGAATTCTGAATTGGTTAAGTTATGTCTATTCATTAGTCCATTAAATTCAAATGTATTACTATCGAGGCGGTCAGTTCAAGTATTCGTCTTATAATTTTGAGTAAATTTTAAAAACTATTGAGGTTAAAATACTATGGAATTTTGCGCAATACGATTTCAAGCAATACAAATGGAGTACGAACTATCCAAAACAAGGTCTTTCGTAATATAGTGTGTCCTTCCTGGTATGTACGTAATAGCAACATTCATGGGCGTTTAGGTTTCCCGAATATTAGTAGTGAAATAAGGGACTGCCCTATGAAACATAGAGAGCATTTTGAGCAGCTTGTTAATATTGAAGCCTCTCAACTTATAAATGAGCGGGTTAAGGCAAAAAGACTAAAACGAACAAGACCTTTGAAACATGATAGATATACAAAAACACGATTGAGCAAAACTAATATTAGTTTTAGGAAGTTGTAACCACATAGTTTTGGTTAAAGTTCTGCACTATTGACATGTTTGAAGAAAATTTGAGCCCACCAATCTTTGTCTCTGTTCGCTACTATTCAACATAGCCCTAGACGAAATAATGCGGAAGTTAACAACCACTCCAAGGGGCATACAATGGACTTTAACGAGCCGCCTGGAGGATTTAGAATTCGCAGATGACATCGCTCTGCTGTCCCACACATATTCAGATATGCAAGCAAAATTGAGCGAGCTACATATAAGGGCAGCAGCGGTCGGCCTGAAAATAAATAAAAGAAAAACCAAATCACTCCGAATCAACGCACCAAACACCATCCCCTCCGTCATAAATACGGCTGCTATATAAGATGTTGAACAATGCAACTACCTCGTCAGTATAATATCGACAGCCGGAGGGGTCAAAGAAGATACGGTCCTGTTGTATGGCTCCGAAACATGGCTAGTGAAAAATTAATACACAAATAAAATGCAGGTATTCATAAATGGGAGCCTAAGGATCATCTGCCGTGTATTCTGGCCCACACGAATCAACAACACAGACCTTTGGGCTTTAACCCGCCTGAAACCATCGCAAGACAGATATTGGAGTGGAATCCGCAGGGTTGAAGTGTTGGACGGCCAAAAAATACGTGGCAAAGAACAATACAGAAAGAAATCGCCACGGCTAACATGGCATGGGTAGAAGAAAAAAAATGGGAGTAACGCAGGAACAAAAACAAAATCTTTGTCTCTCGATGACTTTTAACACCTGTAATAAAAACAAATTACGCATTCGTGTTTCATTATGAATATTGTACACAAACCAGCTTAGTATTAAGGGAACAACTCCCAAAAAATGTGGTCAAAGGTAAATTAGTATATTTATGGAGGATGTCATGCTTCCATAATGCAGCAACTTCAATAATAATTTAATCATATTTTAGAACACATTTGAGATCAACCACAACTGACAATTGTGCTGATTGTGCGCAAATTAAGACAGGTTTCTTGTATTTTTTATTTAAAAATTGTTATTTCCAGTTAACTAGGTGATAAGCCAATATTGTTTTCTTTTTATACAATGATATTCACTCTTTTTGATTATTTGCTTCGGTTTTTGATTTCAACTCTATCCAGGATTTTCGCGGCTGGATATATCAGTGAATATAGGATTTTCTCTTGATTCCGAAGATTTAGATGAGTGATCTTATTTAAATTAGCAATTTTAGGGTTTTTGTGTTAGAAGTTGGTGAAGCTAAACCGTTAGATATAGTAAAGTAAATAACATGTAAGTTCAGAGTTGCTTCGAATGAATCGAAATCACCCATTGCCCGATAAAATATTATCTATACAAACTATTGATTTTTCTGGACAAGGAGGAGACGGCTATTCACATTTTATGCACTTCACAAAATATAATTGTTTCTTGCTTGGTGGATATATCTGGGTATTTACTTATGATCAGGGTAATATTCATAATTTAAAAAATATAATTTAAAAAATATCTAAATCAAAAACTAAAATTTTTCTCAGCACTGTCATAAAATTATAGATAGCTGCCTTTAACAGTTCCAGACAGTTGCTCCTTAAGAAGCGATGGTAAATAGCCAAAGTTCATTTGGACATTATTTGCTACATCTTCAATTTCACAAAGGCCAAAAATCAAATTGAACAATAAAAACTTACTCTGACAATTTCATTACGAACTAACTTAAGAACAATAAAAATTTACTCTAACTGTTCTTAGTTACCACTCTTCAGATCAAAATATTTAATTAGAACACAATTTGCTGCTCTTTTCCAAATAAAATAAGTTGCTTAAAATGAGAAGCTGTAATTAACATAAATGTAACATGAATAATAAATGAATTGGTAATTTTTATTGTTTACTATGCAGAAATGTACAATAAATAAATATACATATACTTGTGTTTCGCTACTTAAAATCTATATTAATCAATATTTTAATAAGGATCATAACTGTTTTGCATATTTAATTACATTAAGCAAATATTAAATAATAAAATTAAAAGGGTGATCCAAAAATATTTCCCCCTTTTTTTTAACGCATTATAATTTTTATTACGGAAATTTTCAGTGTTGAAAAAGAGTTGTGTTATCGAGACTATGTAATTAAAAAAAATCAACAAAAATTTTTTGAAAATCAAAGTGACACGCTATAAATTTTCGATTTAATTCTTTTACACATATTCATATCGATTAAAAGCAATTAGGAAAACTATAAATTGGTTGATTGACCGGATTGCCTTTTTTTTTTTTGATATTTTTTTCTATTTTCTTTTTTGGTACAAATTTGTCACATATGTCACAAAAATATTTTTTAACTGCTGGTTTACAACAAAAGCTCTTTATAAAATTTAAGATATAAAATTATAATACGGTACTTTATTACGCAAAAAAACCAGTAAAGCAAAACAACCCTCCTACAAAATCTTCTGACAATTTTTCCCCCTCTTTTTTCGATGATAAACTCTAAATGTGATAATACATTTTCACATTTTTTATCCGGTCGGATTAAAAATCATAAAATAAAAAAAATATACACAAAAAGGGTGAATTACGACTTGTAACAAATTAAGGACAACAAGTACATTTTTAATATACGTGTGCATACAATACAAATATAAGAGAATGTGCCAAAATAAATATAGTCCGGAATTGGTATGCTTGTGTATAACTTTAAATTTGAAAAACAAAATTGATTAACCGTGTTATTATTTTGAAAACAAGGGGAATGAATATTCAACTATTAGTATTAAATTAAACTATTAGCCACAATTATAATAATTTACTGTCGGAAACGTAGTTCACACTTTATTTTGTTGATTTTCTTAATAGTTTGTAAGAGGTCCCATTGCATTTTGAAAATTGTAATGTAAAAATATTCGTATACTTGAAATATATGCCTTCTAGTGATGTCCACCTTTCTAATTAGGAAGTTAATGAAGTTTTGACTCTCTATCGTTCAGCTTGTTTAAAATAAATTTCGCATACAATATGGTTCTAAATTGATACTTTCTAACCATATGCCATTATTCAATACAGCAACTTGTTCTAAGTAATTAAACCTTTATGCGTTTCCAAAGGTTTGTGCCAAAAAAATTACACTAAATCTGCATCTTATATCAATTTTTCAACTCTTATATTTGAAACTCTTAATTGAGTTATTCTGTTACTCAATAATATAAAGTAAATAAAATAAAATTGGCGTTTGAAAGGGAAAAGTCACTTCAATTCAAAACATCTCGAATTCTAGTATTCATTTTTCAAATACATTAATGTATTAAAGGAACTATCCCTCAAAGCGAAAAAAAAATTATTAGCGCAATGTTAGCTCACTTTCTAACTCCCACCTAACTAAAGAGGTCAAATATAACCTGTGTAAAATTTTAAATGGTACAACGGAAAGTCACAAGTGAGTCAATGAAACTTTTCGGGATTATTGATTGATATTTTTCTAAAACAGGAATGACTAATTTTAAATAGTGTTAAAAAAAATTCTACAATTTAGAATACGAACTTTTCGAAGTCAAGGCAATTTTTTTCAGTATTCTATTACATTGGAACAATTGGAATGGAGGAGGATTCTCTGATGCGGTATGTTGATGACGTCTTCGCGATAGTGGACAAGGAAGAACTGGAGAATATGAACAGATTCATCAACAAATTACATACAAACATCGAATTTACATTCGAAATTGAGGAAAATGGAGTGTTACCTTTTTTGGACACACTGGTGAAAAGAAAATATGAAAAAATTGGATTCAAGATATATAGGAAGAAAACAACAATACAAAGATGCATTCCAAAGGATTCGTACCATTCAACGAAACATAAAATGGCGGCGTTCAACTCTATGATCCATAGAATGCTAACCACACCGATGGACAGACACGGCTATAGATCAGAAGTAAACTTCATTTTGGACACGGCTGTGAAGAACGGTTATTCTACTGAACGTATTAACAAACTCATTAGGAAGAAAAAACGAAAAATTGAGCAGGAGAATATGAGCACATTGTTTAAACAGAACAGGATATTGGAAGAACAAAGAACAACATGGGCATCTTTAAGTTATGATCATCAGTGTACAAACTTGGTAAATAAACAACTAAGGAAACACAATATTCGGACATCGGAAACCAATAGTAAATATCAACTTAGGAGTTTGTTAAATTCTGCTAAGGATAAATTGAAGATACATGAAAGATGCGGTGTGTACAAAATCAATTGTAATAATTGCGATAAATTTTACATAGGACAAACGAAGACACCCGTTACAACAAGACTTAAGGAACATTTAAGTGAAATAAAACGTGCAAGGGGAGTAGGATTTGACCGGATTTTCGATTCTATGGTTGCAAAACATATTTATGAAACGGATCACACAATCACGGAAGATAACTTAAAGGTATTAAAAGAGGTAAAAGGAAAACACAGGAGGGAAGTTCATGAAAGCATGCAGATACAAATCAAACAAGGACTGTCTACTAAACACGGACGAAGGTAACGCGGCTACTTGGCTCTTTAAATTAATTATTTGACCAGTTTTAAGGTTTGAAACAGGTATAAATTTAGTTTGTAAATAATAACAAAAAAAAATAAATAAATAAATTCTAGATTAAGCCAGGTAGATTATATTAAGTCAGGTATAATATTCCTAATTTTAATAGATTTCAATTTTTATTGTTTGTTGTCTTAATTAGAAGAAAGTCAGCTTTGATCATTGTGGACTAGCGATCACTGTGGACTGGTATTTCTTCGCTTTAGTATAAGTAGACCTAAAAACATTTCACTGTAAAAGTCTGCCTAAAGTTGCAGTACTAACGCAATTTAGAAATTCCTTTAACACTTTGTGATTTGATAATAACTCAAGCTTACTTTCTCATTAGATTATTCAAATATATATATTGCTCAGGATTAAAAAAGAATTTTATTATTTCAGGTCTGAAACCCCAAGTACATCATCTTTTCAATCTAGTCCACCAATAAGTCCCGGTTGCGAGTATCATCAAACAGATTCAAATTCAAGTTTAAGAAATGAATGCATTAAACCAAATAATTCTGATGATTATATCAAAGCTCCAAATTTTCAAATATATTCAAATAATAATCCATACAGTCAATACTCAACAACATCGGCTTTTCATAGACCTTTAGAATCATCATCGGGAAATCCGTCGGAGGTAAACATATTATAACCTTTCACATTTTTTTTTATTTTTGTTTTGTTTTGAGTTTAATAAAAATATTTGATGATTTTCTTTCTTTTTCTTATCATTCACAAAATTATATAGTTTCAAACAACAGGCTATGTTCCTGCTCATTTGCAATTTGAATTTTTAACACGAAGTGGGATGTTTCATCGATGTTTTCCAGATCTTACGTTTTCGCATCATACGCTTCTTGGGAAAACACGAAGACCACGTACAGCCTTTACATCACAACAATTATTAGAATTAGAAAAACAATTTAAGCAAAATAAGTATTTATCTAGGCCAAAACGATTCGAAGTAGCTAGTAGTTTACTACTATCAGAAACCCAAGTAAAAATTTGGTTTCAAAATCGACGAATGAAATGGAAAAGATCAAAAAAAGCCCAACAAGAGGCAAAAGAAAAATCAAAAACTACAGGAAGTTAGTATTTACGCATATTTTACAGGTTAATTTCACACTAAATAACTTAAATATTGTATTAAAAAATAATTGTCAACTGTACTTTTCAAAAAGAAAAACAAAAAACAGAAAAAAGACAGAAAAAAAACGAAAAAATATTACTAAAATGAGATTTCACAATTTAAAATAAAAATTAAAATAATATTATGTAATTAAATAATTTCTTTGAGATTTCTTCGAAAAATCATTTTGGTTAAAGTTGCTACTTTACTTAGCTAAAATTGTGCTCGAGTAAACAATCATCTCGGAAGACCTACAGTTAATGCCGTTTGTTGCAGTAGGTAAGTATGAAACATTCATTTAATAAGAAAATAGTCAATTACAATGCAAGTGAAAATACAGATATTCAAAAATCAATACAGGTGGGTTGGGTCATGTAGACGTCAACTCTGTTGGAAATACTACTATTTTTCTAATGTTTAATTTAATATCAATTTAATTTTTTTTCTCTTTTTCTTTTTCTAATTAATTCCTTCGTATGTATTAAGTTTTCGTACTTTCAAGTTCTTTTCAGTTATTTCTTATACTTTTACATATACAGTACTAATTTTGTCATTGCGCATAAAACAAATAGGAAAAAATTTGGAAAGAGATGGTGGTCGAAGTGAGACAAGATAAGGCGGGATGAAAAACTCGGTACTTCCCGCGGCACAACCGAATTACAAAAGTTTCATGAACAGCAAACCAAAAATTGCCACGAATGTTGGACTCAAACTTACAAAACCAATAAAAGACAGAGTTGTAAATAATGTTCAAATCAGGCACTCCGCCTAATGCAAGTGGATAAGAAGAAGAAAAAATAAAAACTAAGTAATTTTGCAAAAATTAACAGTACCGACATAAGAAAAAACAGTAACGATATGGTTCGCTGCACCCGTAACAGACGGCGACATTGGAGACATAACGTCAAGAAATTGAGTGACAATTACCGACTTGCAAAAATTGCCATGATCAGCAAACCGAATAGAACTAGACCACCCAAAAGGTGGTCCGACCTTAACCTTACAAGGCCAATAAAAGACAGAGTTGTAAATAATGTTTAAAACAGGAACTCCGACCTATATCGGGGACTTCTAAATAATTTTAAAACCATTCCACTATACTTCCTATGGAGAAAACATGCATCTCGGAACATATTTTGAGTTAATTTTCGCTACAGAAATACTTCGACTATTCGAGGGAGGAAAATATGCTATAGCAGGTATAAATTTTTTTTTGGTAAAAATATTTTACTACCACGTCCAAACTTTTCATAGAAAAAACATGAGTTTTAGTTTGCGTTTAAAGAATTTTTAAACCATATACGTTTTTTTAAATCAAAAACAAGGTTTTAAAAACTACTACTAAAAGTTTTCAAAAGAAATTCATAGCCCAAAAATAAACTTAACTGATATGGAAGTGGAAAGAGTGGAAGAGTAGCCAAGTCATTGAAATTGTTGAATGTAAATTACAATGCTTCCGAACTTTGTTATTATAACGGGAAATTTCAAAAACAGCAGAAACACCTTGCAACAAAATTAAATTTCGAGCATTTTGAATCCATTATTATTTAAACCGATAGTAAAATCCTCTGCATAGTATTCTTCTGTAAGAAATTCATAAAATTTTAAATTTAAATTACTTAAGGTTTAAATTTTTGCTTATGTTTCTTATTTATGTGGTCATTGTGAGTTACACACATATAATATTATGTATATATGAAAATCTATAAATAATTAAGCATTTTCCACTTATTCGCGCTTAAAGTGCAAATATTTCGTTTTATTAAAATTCTTATTCGTCATCGATAAAATAATCTCAACTTAAATTATTTTAAAGGTTTCCCCACATATGTGCGGTTTTCGATAAACAAAATTAATTCACTAACATACGAGTATTTCACTTAAGCACTTATAATAAACGCTGTTATAACCACTTATGATATAACAGAACAAATAAAAATTTATCTATTTAATTGATATCGATCGCTTATATTTCCTTACTTAATTTGTGGGTATGCACCATACAAGTATATTTTCACGATATTTAATTAGAAAATTATCTACAAAAAAAATATAAGTATAATATCGGGTTATTTTAAAAAATTCACCTTAAACAACATGGTAAACAAAAATTTAATTTATGTACGTATGTAGGTATATGATAATGTATTTAACTATATATAGAATATACATGTGTGTATGAATGCCATTTTCAGCCAATTAAAAAGCACTTTCGTGGTTAACGTTACTCATAAAATACATACATTTGTACACTATATATGTATACATGTATATATTTATGTATATGATTACGGCATCCATAACAAAACTAGACGAAGGAAAAAAAAAGGATCTCTTTATATACTTAAAAAATTTTATTCGAACAAAGAAAAATAATAAAAAATCTATAAAAAATATAAAATTGCCAATATACAAGTAAACAAATAATAATATTATGCATGTACATACATATATATAAGAGCTAACGAGTATATCTCAGGCTACAGAAGCAGCTATCATATTGTACTAAAAAGAAAAATGTTATAAAATAAAAATCAAAGAAACAATATATGTGAACCCCTAATCGACTAAAAAAATTCTAAAGGAGTAAACAGAATTTCATCATAAAAAAAAATATTGTGTCTGAAAATAAATGGCGGTTATAAAAAAAAAATAAGGAAAAATAAAATTTTCTGGCGTTAATCCGGATGACTATGAGAACTAAATTAATTTAAAAGGGTGTGGTTTCTGTTGAAGATAAAACAAGTAAGTGTGGAATATATGCATTTGTCAATATGATTTAATAATGTATTGTCAAATGTGATGTCATACTTTGGCTTTTCTAAGTATGTTAAGGAATTTTTTCATTCTCTTCACTTTGAACTATTAACCGATAAACATCATTAAACATTTCTAATATAAAATCAAAACCTCGGATTTAATTTAATAATTTCTCTATATTAAATCATTTTTTGTATAACATTTGTGCATTTATGTATATGTAATTGATAATATTGGTGGTCCAACAAATTATACCTTCAGCTAATTCTATTAAAGTATATGACATATAGGGGTCTATCATATTGTTTTCATCATTTACATTTTTGTGAACTTATTGACATTCGTTTTTTGTATCAATATAAGCAATGGACTGTCAAAAATTGTTGCCATTGTACATTGTAATTTTGTACGGGAAAAAATTTGGTGTCATCATCAGTAATGTAAAAGTAATGAATGATAATATTGCTGTTTATCATTCACCCATTTTTCCTTCCATTCACTTTTATGTGACAATGATAACAGCGGCCATACTAACCCAAATATCAAAATGTTCAATTCGGCAATTACAACTCATATAAGCTGAATTAATACCATTATTTCTCGCAATTTTGAAGTTGGACGATTCACGATTTAATGACTTCGAAAAATAAGATTGAATCTTTAAACACTTATATGTATTCTTATACATATAAGAACTCAATTTTTTATTAACATGTCAGCTTAAAAAATTCAGCATAATTTTACAAATCAGTAAAATTAATTGGAAATTTTTCCATTACATATTTTTATTTAATCCAGTCGTAGTTTCTTTTTTTATGTTATGAACCTAAATTTTATTTTATAATGCTTAGTATAGAAGAACGTATTTATGTATCGAAAGGAAGCTAAGACTCTTTTCCATCTTTATATTTTATTCTTTTCAGATTTACTTTAACGTATATGCATACATGTACATATGAAGATGTATATTTATATTATATATCGAGAAAATAAAATTTCTTAAGGATTAACAAATCAAGGATAAAAACGGAGGGTATAAATTATGTAAAAAATATATTTGTTTTTTCAATTTTTAATTTCACTGATTTTTAAGTTCCAGTTTTATGATTTCGCAAAATCTGTTTATATACATAAATATACATGTATATGTATAACATGCTAAGATTTGGAGAAATGTTTCTTTGATTCATTGATTCTTATTTCTCACACCATTTTTCTTTTCTTTTTTTTTATATATACGTTATTTTGTTACAACGAGAAAAGGATCTAGAAAATATCTTTTTTAAAAAAAAGGGGATATATGTATAATTTAATGATATTATAGTCCTTTATGGAAACTTCATCTGAAATTTTAATGTTGATTCGTTCAAATTAACAAACTCTTCACATTAAAAGAAAATTTTTGGATTGGCACATTGGAATACAAATGAAGAAAATTTATGTAATAAAATTAAATTTGAGAAGTTTTTTTTTGTTTTTAAAAATTAAAGAAAATAATTTAAGTAAGTAAATTAGCTAAATAATACACCCAAGGGTTGCGACAATAATATTAACATTTTAATTGAATCGTAAATAATTAAGCAATACTTTCTTTGTGGATGTACGTAGGTACATTTCCATATACATACATATACGAAGGATATTCGTTATATTTTATAGAAATTAAAAATGGCTTCATCCTCGAAACAATGAATTTATCGTAAGTATATATATATATATATATATATATATATTTATTTAATTCGAAATTAAGATTTCTTAAGAAAAATTCCGATTTAACGAAGATTGAGTTCCTAATATATACGAATATGTAATTAAATACAAAGGTAAATACTTACAAACATATTCAAGTACATACATATATTATAAGCAGTAGTATTACATCCAGTTATTAAATATTTATGTATGTATGATTCCATCCACTCGACGAGTAAAATGGTGAGGCACGTGATCGGACCTCAAAAATCTTTTATGTATGAATGTAAGTACCTATTAGATTAAAACTATATTATAGATTAAAATGGTACCAAAACTGGTCATCTGGCAAGTCTTGGTAAATTTCGGTAAGCCATTTAAGTAGAATAATAACGGGTATTTTGATTCTAAAAGAATCAGTGTGAACATGCGTTCAATCAAGTCTAGAAAAATGGTGGTATTAGGTATATAAATATGTATGCATGTAGTTTTTTTTTGCATTTCCACCGAACTGTCCTTGAAAATGGCGATCCTAATTACGAGTTATTCAATATTGTATTGCAACAATATTAATAATCAATCTGAAAATTGGCAAAGTCTGTTGAATATTCGATAATTTATGAAAGCATTTTTAATAAATCTGACGTCATTGGGAAGATATTTTAAATTTTTGATATATCTGAGTTTACCCAGCATTTACACATACAAGTTACTTGCATGCAAGTTTGTATAATATTAATTGTCAATTAGTTTTTCGAAATGTCAAATTACTTGCTATTATGACGTAGGCGTTTAGCAAGTTAATTTTTGAAAATGTCTTTGAGAAGAAAACAACTAGCAATATATATAATTGTTTATAAATTTTAGAAACCATAAGTTTGCTAAGTTTAATTTTTTCAAAACAAAATTCAAAAATTTTAAATTAAAAAAAAAAAAAATCAAAACAACAAATTTTTTTTTGTGAATTTCTCAATATGTCAAATTATTTGCTCAAATTACTGGCAGCAAAATTTTCTTGCAAGTTGAACTGCAAGTAATCAAGCAAGTAGAAATATTTCAATGTGTAGATATGTTACATTTTACTATCATTTATTAGACTACGCGACTACGCGATAATATAAGCAAAATATACACTATACGCGAAAAAATGCGCGATTTATTATCATTGTGTTTTGAACTAACTAGTTGTCAACTTATGTCAATTAGAAATCGATTGTGAAAAACGTCACAGTTTTGTGTTGTCAAGACTGAAATGATTTAATATAAATTCTCAATTTGATAAATAGTAAATAAAATAGTAAACAAGTTGGAAAAAATTTCTTTTTGTACAATTAAAATTTTAACATTCGATTTAGTATTAAACCACACAAAAAATGAATGCTCCTCCGCTTTCTTATGGCATTCAAAGCACTGCAGGAGCAATCCCTGTCAGAAACAACAAAGGTATGCATTTGCAATTGATTTATTAAAAATTTCAATAAAAATTTTGTATTTTAGGTGAAATTTCTATGCAAAAGGTGAAGGTTCAGAGATATATTTCTGGAAAGAGACCAGAATATGCAAGAGCAGATTCATCAGATGATGATTCTGATTTCGAAGATTTTATAGATAACAGAAAACATAAGTCGCAGCCTTCAAATGAAGTGAAAATTGATCCAATTATTGCACCGGATTTAAATGATGAAACTTTGGACGATCCTCGGTTAAGACGCTTAAGAGCTATAGCTTCTGAGCCTGCAGATGTCAATAGTGATCGTTTAGATAAACGTAGACATGTACATGAACCCGAAGAAGCATCTGAATCTGAAGCCGAAAAATCTGATGAAGATGATTTCTTGAAAGCGCAGCCTATAGATAACAGGACGAAAAAAATTACCTTAGCTTCAGAAAGTGATTCAGATTCTGACCTAAGCGACACTGAAATAGAAAAACGGAGGCAAAAACTAAGACAGAAAATGTTACAACAGCAAAAGGAAGAAGAAGTAAATCCTTTAAATTTAAAAATTTTATTTTGAATATGTATATAAAAATATAAGAATATGTATTAAATCTAGGTAATGCAAAAAGAAGATGAAAAAAAATCTGACTCGTCTGAAATAGAAAGCTCAGAATATGAGGAGGAAACTGAAAGTGAGGAAGAAAATGAACCAAGATTGAAACCACTTTTTGTTCGAAAACGTGATAGAGCCACAATAGCGGAAAAAGAGCGTGAATTGGCAAAGCAAAAACAACTAGAAATCGATATGAAGAAACAAATGAAAGAAAGGCGTCGCCAAACCCTTAAGATGGTTGAAGAAAATGTTAAAAAAGATTTGGAGAAAAATAAATCTGATTTAGGTGAACCTAATATCAATGATGTTTGTACTGATGATGAAAACGATGATGTCGAATATGAAGCATGGAAACTAAGGGAACTGAAAAGAATAAAACGGGATCGCGAAGAAAAGGAAGCGTAAGCATTCAATATTTCACTTTAGTTTTTCACATTTTAAATTATACTTTTAAATTTAAATTTTTTAAAATTGAACTCTTTGCAGACTTGATAAAGAAAAATTGGAGATAGAACGTTTGAGAAACATGAATGATGAAGAACGTCGGCAGGAATTACGTCTAAATCCAAAACTTGTGACGAATAAACCTGTTAAAGGGAAATACAAATTTCTGCAGAAATATTACCATCGGGGTGCTTTCTATTTGGATGAGGAGAATGATATATTAAAAAGAGATTTTGCACAAGCCACTTTGGAAGATCACTTTGATAAAACTATATTGCCTAAAGTCATGCAAGTCAAAAATTTTGGTCGTTGTGGTAGAACCAAGTATACTCATTTAGTAGATCAGGATACAACAGTTTTTGACTCGCCTTGGTATGCAGATACAGCCAACAACATAAAATTCCATAATGAGAAAGCTGGCGGAATGAAACAAGTTTTTGACAAACCTTCATTATCTAAAAGAAGAAAAGTTTGAACAGAATAAAATATTTCTATTTTCTTTGCATTGAATATTACCAAACTTATTTAAGTCAATTCCTATAATATGTCTTAATGGAATCTAATTTTATTTTTAATTGTATATAAAACACAATAAATTTAACTTCAGGATTCAGTTTATAACATTTAGTTTTTTTGAACCCGGAATAGGAAAAATCTTTATAACTTTTCGTTATAATTCAAAGCGTGATATTGTAAATATTAACCCAAGTGAAAGTTATGTTTTCGCATTTTGACTAGCTTTTTGACTTTTTCGTTTTTTATATATCTGGCAATGCTTAATCATTTAATGTCACTTATAAATTCTGACTAAAACTCCGAATGTATTCCGAATTTTATCAGCTGTCAGATTTCAGTTATTATTTTTATTGTTGAGATTAATTTGTGAGAAATATAAACATAAATAAAAATAAACCGGTGTAAGGAAAACAGCAACTCTTACCTTTTTTGTAATGAATCATAGAAATATGAAAAAAATTCTTTGTTGAAAAATATATTTAATTGCAAAAACCAATAGCAAAAACTCTCAATGTTAGATTTAAACAGAGATGGTATCTACAAGGGGAATCAAATATAGATTCACTGAAGGAGAAAAAGTTTTATGTTATGAGCCCGATATAACAAAAGCCCGCGTTTTATATGATTCAAAAGTAAGTAAAATAATATTTAAATTCTTTTCAAATCAATATGAATATATTTCTTCTAAGGTTCTGGGAATAAGTGAAGCTAGAGATAAAAGAGGCCGACGAATTGTTCAGTACAAAATTCATTTTCAAGGATGGAATTCTTCGTGGGATCGAAAAGTAAATTCAGATCTTGTTTTAAAGGATACTGAGGAAAATAGGTAATCATATTTATTTTCTAATAAAAAAACAACATTTTTAACAATTTGCTTTTTTACATCGTTCTAATTCCATAAAAAACGATGTCCTTCGAAATAATGTAGGCAACTTCAAAAAAATTTAGCAGAGAAAGCTCAACTTCAACTGTAAGGATTTTTAATTTTATTCCAAACAAAATTTGATAAAATATTAATTTTTTTAGTGGCGCATATTTGTACCGTCGAGATAGAAAAAAACGAGTTCGCAACGAAAAGACAGTTCCCGACAATTCTATATCTCCTACATCACGCAAAATACGAGGTTCGTCGGAAGACAATAGTTCTTGTAGTACATTGGGAAAATTAGAAGCAGATTTTGGAATGAGAGATGGTAAATACTCAGAAGTAGTTAAAATAAAAGAACTAATTTTTTCTATTTTTATTTCTAAATTATGTTTTAAGATTGTGACACAGAGTCTTATAGCAGCTCAGTGGAAAGTTTTCACGAAGAAGACAGAGTTCTACTAAAAATTGGTGACAAATTGAAAGAATTTTTAGAATACGATTATGACATGATAGTGAATCATAATAAACAACATATTCTTCCACCTAGAGTAACTGCGATTACTATTTTAGAAAACTTTGTGAAACAAAGTGCCATTAAATTGGTATTTTCTTCCTCACAACCAGAAAATCCACGGAGACGTAATCCACAGTCCAAAGTTGAAAAAAAAGAAAAGGAATTTGAGAAATTATTCAATACGTAATATTACCGAAAATTTTTGTTTTATTTCTTATACTAATTTAAATTTTACTTTACTGAATATTTAGGGTTACTTTATTAAAAGAAGTTGCCGATGGATTGCGAGTTTATCTTAATTTCACTATTACAGATTATCTTTTATATAAAAATGAAAAAGAAGAAGCTGCCTTTTTGCTATCTGACAAAAATTTGAAAAATTTCAACTATTTAGCCTCTGTTGGATTATCACCAGATTTTTTGCTACCCAAATCAGATTCAGAACTTCTTTTTAATTTAGATAATCCAGAATCTCGTACAAATAATACTAACAAAGGTGGTTCTGATGTTCAAAATACTAATGTGGCACCTGACGAACCGCTAAGAAGGAAACTTAGATCATGCCGTAGTGACGATTGTGATGTTCTTTTAGAAAATTGCCTATCCAGGTATTATATTTATAGCCTATGAGTATATGTTACTGGAAATAATGTAATATATGATTATTATTACAGTAAAGCTAGCAATAGTTCTGGAAGTTCAACACCACACGCATCATCATTTAATTCCAGTAATTTGGATTTTTTGAAATCATTTTCTCCAATAACTTTGGGTATACCAGTACAAGTGAAGGAGTTTTTACAAAAAGTCCTATCATGGCAACTTTTACCATCAAATTCTGAAGCTGAACCTTCAATGATGTTTGGTGCAACACACTTGGCCAGATTAATTGGTTTAAAATATTAAATTGAAATTACCATTTACTATAATAATATTTATTTTTAGTTAAATTACCAGATTTCCTTAATGCATCTACTATCAGTGATGATAAATTAAAAATTTTGCTGCAACATTTAGATTCCTTCGTTTTGTAATATATTTAAATTATAAGTAGTGTTTTATATAATATTTTCTGTTTTCTTTTTTAAGATATTTGGAGTCTCATAAGGAATGGTTTAGCGAACAAAATTATTTTAAAGATTGCCCACAAAAATTCATATCATCGCCAAAAGAATAGGAACTTCACTTTTTTTTTTCAATATTATTAAGAGATTATGAAATGTTCTGCATTTTATTCAAAATTGGTATTAAAAATTCAATTATTAGCAAGTTAATGATAAACTTGGAAGAAGAAGTCTACTTTAATACAATAATAAATAAATAAGATTTCAAGATGTAGTACCTACTATTTAAAAAAACTTTTGTTTCATTTTTTTGATAAATTAAAACTATTAATGAAAATCTTAAATTGACTATTACTATGAATTTGTAATTATTAATTAGTTTACATTTAATACCCTTTTGTAGATCTTGATGGAAATTGCAACTGCGAGCTGAACAACAGAATAAGTAAATTGGATTAAATTTAAATATGCATATGGGGGTATATATAATGTAAGATTTCATAGTAATTACTGATCAGATCGTAATATATTGATTGAATTATACACTAAAATTTGCTTATATTTTACATAAGATATAGTACATAGTCATGTTCAAATAAATTCTTAAAACAGCGAATTGTCTATGTAAAGAAAACCTTTTATGTAATAAATAATAAGCAACACTAATCTTTTACTAAGTTTCTGTACTACTATACACACATAGCCTTATTGAATTTTGAGAGCTCAATACATACATATTTCAAACATTTTTTTTATGCTTTTGAAGTTGATGTAGAATTTTCACTAGCATCGAAAACGTTTAAATAAACTGCTCACGAAGTACATATTAGTTTTTTTCAGTAATCCCTTTCTATAACGTGTATTTTGGGGCCAAATATTTTCAGCGTTAAGTGAAATTACGTTAACAGATTTGAAAAGAACTTAATAAAGAAGTAGTATTTTACCATGTAACTATGTAACTATATAATGTATTGTTTGTACATATATTAGATAATCAATAATTAGAATATGAAAAAACAAAGGTACATTAAGCGATGTTAAAAAAAATTAAAACTACGATAATAATGTAGTAGGGGGAGATGTTTTGGGGCGGTTATCTGCATTTAAATAATTCAATATAAAAATAGATTTTCTTAGAAACGAAAAAGAAGAGCTTCCTTTTTATTTCAACTCAAAAACTTAAATATGTAATTTTAAACAGAAGTGGAAGAGAATACAAGATCTTGATTTTATTTTTGAAAATTAATATTGTATTTTGAAAAACACAAATATACAAAACAAATAATTTTGTTTTTTTAAAATACGAGGTTTTTATAGAAAAAGCATTCTTAAGTTGAAAATTTCGCTAAGATTTCACAGTATTGAATAAAATTAAATAAAATTATTTTAAGTCATTAAAAATATTATAAAAAATTACTAAGAAGCTTGAACATTTGGGGAAAAGAAAACAAACAAAAATTATATGATTTTATTCGAAAATTTTTTAATGAAAATTTTTAATATGAATAATTCAAATATTATAACTATGACTATATAAAAATAATAAAATATTTTTAACGAAATTATTATAACTTTTTAAGAATTTTCAAAAAAAAAAAAAAAGACTTCTAAATTTTTGATTTAATTAGTATTACATTCTTTTTTCATTCATTTTGAATAATTTTTTTTTTTTAGTGATAAATATTAAATAGATTGTATATTTTTGAATTTTTAAGCATAATGAAAAAGTAAATTTTATTTTTAAATCTGTAAAGTTTCGTATACGCATAAATTCGCAGAAAATTAATACAAAAAAAATATTAAATAAAAAAAAGAATAATGTTAAGAAATTATAATTAAAGAAATAATTAAATATTATAAATAATATAATATAAAGGGAACAAAATTAATTTTTATTTTTAATTATGCACAGTCTAGAATTTTTAATTCTCACAATTGATTGTCATAATATTATATTAATATAGAAATATTTGCTGTGCAAAAAATATCTATTATACTAAAAAATAAAAAAAAAAAAAAATATTTCCATGATATCACAATCATTTATGAATTTTCTATTAGATTTAGAATATCAATCACAGTATTTCTAAGAAATATTTTTAATATAAGTGTTGGAAATTAATTTATATAACTTATAACAAAATTACTCTATAACAAAAATGAAAATTTAGACGATAGTTGTTGCCTGATTATTGTTTAAAACAATTCGAACAAATAATTTTGAAATTTTCTGCGAATTTGGCGATCTTACATCGTAAAATTATAAGAAAACAATCTTTTTGTTTTTTTTCACTTAAAATATAGAAAAGAAAATTTTTTGAAACTACTATTTTTTTTTTTTTGTTTTTAAAAAAAATATATATATAGTTTGTATATTTTTTATAACAAATGAGTAAAATTTAAATATAATAATTCGTAACATTTATAAGTATTAATAAAAATTAATATACACAAGTAAAACAATTTCGTTTATTATTAGCATTTTGTTTATTATTTTGCATCGGTTTTGGTTTGGTTTTGTTGAATAATTAACAAAAAAAAAAAAAAAAAAACATTTTCTAATTTTTCTTTTTTAATATTATGGAGGCATCCTGGAAAATTATTGTATTTACTATATAAGAATAATTTATAATAAAAAATAATTGAAAATAATAATATTTTCCAGGATGTTATTCTTTGATTTGAATAACTAATAAAATTAATTACCTAAATTTTAAATTTCTTAGGTTTTTTATTCCAAGAATATCATCATGTTTTGTTCATGTTGTATAATTATTAATTATTATTATATTTAACTTTTTTTTTTTCTTTCTCTTACTTAAAAATATTTTTGGGATATTAAAATATATAATATATGTATTTTATAATTTTATTTATTATAAATTTTAAACTTAATTATTGTTTTTTGTTTTTTTTTTTTTTACAAATTTTTAAAAATATTATTTTTTATAATCGGTTTGAAGACGTTTTGTTGAACTAGCTGTTGTTGGACGCATAAAACCACTTAAACGTGTTGAAGTATTAGTAGTAGTTGAATTACTACTAGATGTATTATTTTTAATACTACGATTACTATTCATAGTATTTATAATATTTAAATTATTATGATTACCTGCCGCAATATTTAAACGATTTGCTACTGAAGAATTTTTAACTAAAGGTTTAACGCTAGATGACTGATTTTCTTTAAAATTTGTATTACCTAAATTTGAAATACTGATGCCACTTGATACAACTGTATTTGGTTTTTGAAGTGATCTACGTATAGTTGGACCAATACTTGAACCACTTGAACTACTTCGACTAGCTGGAACTCGATTACTATTAACAATATTATTTCCTATAGTAGTTGATAGACTACTATATGATGATGGTCTTGTATATAATGATGATGAATTTTGTGTTGCTAAAGGTCTTTTACTTGGTGATGTACTACTATCAATTGATGATGTTATATCAGATTTTAAGGGCATCTTTTTAACTGTATTTGTTGATATTGCACTATTTAATGATGAACGTGATGATCTTAAACTATTTCTAGAGCTACTGCGTTCGACATCACGTTTATTATTGCCAATATAAATATTTGTTCCAGATGCACTTGTTAATTTTGAATCACTTTTACGTAAAGGATTTGCTCTACGAGATAATCCTAATTGAGATGAAGATAGAACACCAGTTGTAGATGAATCATTGAAATTATTTGAAGAATTATAATGTGGTGGAATAGATGTTAAGTGTGTTGAAGTTGATGTTGTTCCTCTTAATGATCTTGTACGATCAAATAATTTTTTCTTATTTAATGCACTTTGAATACTTGATTTATGTGAACCTACACGTTGTAATTTTGATCCAGAATTACTTGTTACAGCTGTTGGAGTTGGTGCTATACGTATTATCTTTGGCTCTTTTTGCACCAACTCATTAATATCGGTTGTTTCATTGTAAGATGAAGTACTTTCTTTTCCTTGTGATTGTGTATCTGATACTAATGATTGTGTTTCTTCGAAACCTTCATCATTTAATTCATGGTTTGATATTTTTACAGACGGATTTGTTATTGAAACCGATGTTGGAATGACGGGTGTAACTTCATTTACTTCTTGCGATATGCACATTTTTTCTGGAGTATCTAAAATAATATTATTTTTTAAGATTACATTTAATTTTGTACAAATTTTTTATAAATTTCGCATTAGGATACTTACGTGTAGGCGATTTTAAACTTCTAATTGCTTCTTTAACATCATCTTGATTTATAGTGCTCATATGTCTTCCATTGCTAGATTTGTCTTGCGTAGCTGGTAGATTACTATTGTCTGTTTTAACGCTTTCTAAATCCTTTAGACGATCATGCCAACGTTTTAATCGTTTTTCCTTGCAATCTACTGGGGCAACAATGGAATCAATCTTATCTAAATTTTTGTTAATATCATTATTATTCATTATGTCTGTATAAGTATCACTATTATTGCAATCCGCTTTGTCAGTAGTTTTATTTTTTGAATCAATTTGATTTGATGATGTTTCTTCATTTCCACTACTATAATCAGTTGGTCTCTTATATCTTCTAGTACGACGGGCGGATGAAAATCTATCAAAGTGACCTAACTGATCGTTTTCCAATTGTTTATCAAAATCAGTATTATTTTGATTATTAGCTGCTTCATTTTTTCTATAATCGTTTGTGAACCTACTTATTGAAGAAGTATTAATTGATCTTCGAACAACTGGAGGGGTTTCAATATTATCTGAATCAATTTCAATTCTATTCTGTTTTTCGGGATGACTTTCTTTATTAGAGTTCACTGTATTCACTTTTATTATATTTGATTCATTTCTGTTATCTGAGTTTTTATTTGTAATAGGATTCGCAGTTGTAGGTGATCTTATGGGAATTAATGGTGATTTTGGATGCTGATTAGTTTGAGGTGAGTTTGATGTTGGTGTTGATGAAATTGAATTTTTCCCTGTACTATTTGGAGTTTTATCATTAAGATTCGATTCGGACGGCCTTCTTATATATATACGTAGGCGATCTGTTGGACCATGTTCACCTAATTGTTGAATAACATTTCTACGTGAATCTTCTTCACCAATAACATGCAGTGACGGACTTGATCGTTGTTGTTGCTGCCTTTGTAATTTATCGTTAACATTAAGACTAGATTCATTATTATTTTCGTTGATTTTTCTTGTATAACTTGATTCTGGTTTTGATTGAGTTTTTTGATTACGATTTTCTCGATCATCTAAAATTGAAAAATTAAAATTAATGAATATTTTTTTTTTTAATTTTTTCTATTAAAGTGGATTCTTTGAAGAAAAATATACCATGAATTGCTATTATTGTTCCGGTAACATCGGATTTATCAATTGTAGATGATGGATCCCATCCCTGACTCAATCGTTTCTGTCCTTCCTTATCACTATTCACTGTAGCCTTTTCTTCAGGTAGAGGATCTAATTTACTTCGTTCGCTTTCTATAATTTTAATATTTTTATGCTATTAGTAATCATTTCTTAATTATATTTGTTATATAAAATTAAAACTTATTTATAAAGGTGTACCTGAGTCGTTTTCAAGCGACCTTCTATTATTAGTTAACCGTCGCCTACGTTTGTAATCGTCCATTTGTTTTTCATCATTCTCATTTGCTTGTAGCCATGATTCAATTTTCTGCCTCCATTCTTTAGATATTCTACAATAAGATTTATTAAAAAAGAAATCATTTTTTTAATTTCATATTCAGTATACAAATTTATATTTGAAAATTTAATATTGATATATGTAAATCTAAAGATCAATTACTTTTGAAAATTTTAAAAATAGATATGGTTGTTTTTTTACCTTGGTTTCGCTTCTCCTGCATCTGGCTGCATTTCTTTGTGTTCTGGCATTGGTGATGGTGAATTTGTACGCTCACGATCATTTCCAAAATCAATATTTAAAAGTTCAGGTCGTTTTTTATTTGGTGTTCCACTTCTAGCACGTCTAGCCCATGATCGATCTAATTATATGGTATTAAATTAAATATAAAAATGTAAAAAATGTTTCTTATGGTTTATAATATTTTTGATTAAAATGAAAAATGCCCTTCTTCTAGTAAATTTTTATTGAATTGGAAGAACTCTAATATTTATTTTTCTTAAATTTTCAACTTAAGATTTTTTGATGCAATTTCTGTATGACAACTAAATTGTTTAAAGTTGCGCAGCAATGTCGCATTATTTTCAGTGCTTTAAGTTAAGCCGCACGAAACGACTTACGTATTTGAGTTTTTCAAAACTTTATGCGAAAGTGTATTGCGATAATTTCGATAATAATAAATGAGATTTGTAAGATTATATAAAGTTATATTTAATTTTTAGATACATTAAAATTAAATTGTAGTTGTGGTTCTAGAATTAATGAAGTTGTTGCAATAGCAGATCAAAATTTAAAAACAATGTAGCGGCTCATGATGTCGTTTTGTTGTATTCGGCCATCACAAATCGAAATTTTTACATTTTAACCACAATTTTGTATGATAAACAAAAATAATTTTAAATTTTTTTTATTTATTTATTTTATTTTTAACAAATTGAATATAAATTAATTAATAATTTTCAATATAGTTTAAATATTAAATATTTCTGTACATTGCCTATATTTTTTATGTTTTAATTTTGTTTCTTTCAATTATAATTGTATTGCAAAAACACTTTTTATATATTTTTATATTTTATAATTATTTTAAAAATTATTAAAGTTTTAAATAAATATTTATAGTACATTATATAAATAATAATTATGTATATCACAGTATTTTATTTTTATTTACGTTTTTTTACATATTATGAGTATACAATAAATAAAATTAATTTAAATATTACAAACAATTATTTATTTATTTTTTTTAATTAATTAATTAGCTATCTATGTATTTATATAATAATTCTGTTTTTTAAATTCATTTTGATAAAATAATAATTAAATTTAAATTTCATTGTTTAATTGAATTTTACATTATTTATTTTAAATTTTAAATAATTAAAAAATACTTTGGTAAAATTTGAAAAATAGTGTGTGTAATTTGTTGCTAATAAACATTGTATGTCCTACAAGTTGTAGATAATTATACCATATATACACAATATGTAATCGCCGTACGTTCCTTCTTTATATAGGCATTTTCATAGTTTTTTTTTAATTTTATTTTTTTGTTAGTCATAGTTGACTAGAAAAAATCGAATATTTTAAAATCTGAAAGGGATTATACTAAATTTTGAGAATAATTTTTCTAAAATTTCTTTCGCTATATAATTATATATTTTAAAAGGAGGAGTAGATACTTATTATCCAAGTCTTATGGAATATAGAATCCATATATGAAAGAATAAGTTGTTTTAGAAATTTAGAATAGTTTTATTCAATATTGTTGAACATTCTTATGTTTACATTTTGTAATCAATTTTAAAAAACGCTTTAGTAATGAATTTAGTCTTAACCAGAAAATTCACGGCTGTACAAAGTTCATTGTAATCAATACCAAATTTTTGAAAACGAGAATTTTTAAAACATGAAATCAAAACATTCAATCAATTCAGAAATATTATTCAATTCTAAAGCCTACAATATTTGAAAATAAAAATCAAAATTTAGAAGTATTTTATAGAAACTACCAAAATTTGTTAGAATTTTAAGCACTTGCTACAATTTTCAATTTTAAAGATTTTATAGTTTAGTCTCATCGAATATTAAGATCTAAGTTAGAACTGAATTTTCGAAAAATTCGAAAGTCTATATAGCGGAGAACTACATTCATATATAAGTGTACAGAAAATTAAAGTTCCCACATTTTTTTTTTAATCAACAAATTGATTACAAAATTTTCTAAAACAACTCTTTTAATCTCATTATGATGCTTTTTAACAGATAAATACATACTAATTTTTTTGATATATAGAACAATTTTTCATAGAATAAGATTTTTTAATAATAATTTTTCTATATATATTAATCGTAGGTATTATGCATATATATATATATATATGTATATCTCATAAGCACAGTCTTCTTGACACATTTTCCATTATAGTAGACTCTTGAAATCAATTTTCATATGCATGTCAATATGTATGTATATATGTGTATCATACTTTATAATATCTATCACCATAATAACGTTCTCTTTCATTTTCTATAAGTGGTGCTAATTTTTTAGTTCTACGTGTACCCTTTACTTTTAATGGTCTTGTATGGCCACCATTTTGTATTCCTAAAAGAAAGAAAAAAAAAATTTAAAAGAAAAAAAAAATTTATTTTTCATTGCAATTCTTAAATTTTATTCTTAAAATTCGAATTATTCATAAGCGCATATAGATTAGTATAAAATTTCACATTAAAAGAAATTTAAAAAAATAAAATAGAAAAATTAAAAACTTCACTTACATTTTTAGATTCTTGGCTTTAGATTTTGTTTGGCTATAAAAAATCCATTTTCGCAGCAGCGTTAAAGCTTTTATTTTGTAATTAAATAAAAAAAAAATAGAAACACAATAATTTTTCATGCACAAAAATTACACTTTTTATGAGCTCGTATGTATAAATTTGTTTCACTAAATATTTATATGTGTATATATGTTTATACCTACATTCATGTAAAATTTATTATTATGTAATCTTTATGATTGTAATTAATATTTTTGTAAATCTAATTCTTGTAAAGGTTTCAAATGTTTTGGGTACAAAATACAAACTTATGAAAATTAAAAACGCGGGATTGCTTTTAATGAAAACATTTGTTTATATACAATTTTTTAAAATGAAGTCTATAATATTTTGACATTTCATTACAGTTATAAGCTAAGAGTGGGGGGAAATTCAAATAAAACAATATCTATAAATCACTTTAATTCAGCAATATGAACTTATTATATTGCTTAAAATATTTTTAAAAAAAATCTAAATTTTTAATATTATATTTTGGCATGCTATGAAGGACAACAAGTCTTTTAATTTAATTTGTTTTGTATATATTATGCTATTCTATTAAATTAACTGTAATTTCAGTTTTTATTATTACATAATAACTAATAAATTATATAACAATAATTAATATGGTTCCTTATAACAGAGCAATAATGTAGAATTTCAGATATTTACAATTAATCTGAATTTAAGAACTTATTATTAAATTTAAAATAGAATTATGGAATTACTGCCGTATTACTACTGCCTTATGTAATTCAAAGTTTATTATAAGTTTTTGGGCTATATATTTAGCACTCATTTAATTTTTCCTCAAATTTTTAAAGACTAATCTAATATTTTAGAAATTCGTATACTTGTATATTAATTTCATTGTTTTAAAAGTTTATGTGTATTAAATTATTAAAATTCGAAGATGTACGTACATATAATAAATGAAGAGGCTGAAAAATCCTTCAGTGCTCTAATATGATTCCACTTGAATTTATAATTTACACATTTGAGTTATTAAGCGAATAATAAATTCAAAAAATGTTAATTTTAATTTTTCATAATATTTATAAAATTAAAACATTAAATTAATTCAAAAAAAAAAAAACAAACAATATTTTTCACTTTATTTTAGTTTATTGATGAATTTAACAATAATATTATTTAAAAGATAATGAAATTAAAAATGAATTTTAATAATATTATTATAATTTTAATAATATTTAAAATATTTTGACGTTTTCATGAATAATTTTTGTTATTAATATTATTATAATTATTATTTAAGCATTTTGATTTTTATAGCTTATATTAGAATGATGATATACATATGTATATGTAGTTTTGTTATAAATGATATAATATGAATATTATGTGATATATATAAAATAACATGATGAAAACAAATTAAATATTATTATAAAAAACACTTTTATTTTGTACAAACGCAATATACTTTAAAAACACCGAACGCTTAAAACAAGAGCTTACATTTATATAATGTATTTATATAAATAAATGCATATACATAATAATATATAATAGATGTGTATGTAGTTATATATTATACAATATACAATTGAAATTGCATATATATTATAAGAGAAAGTTTTTATTTCCGTTATTTATAACAAAACTTTCGAAATATTTATCTTAACTTATTTACTTACACTAAATTATAGTAGATTTATGCGGGTGTGCGTATGTATATTGAACTACAATATAAAACATACTTATATGTTACATAGGCGGGGGAAAAATGGAATAGATATTATTCAAAGCATACTTTTGGGGAATCGACTTAACTTTTTCTTAACTATATTTCAAACAAACTATTGGACAACTCAAACATGATGACATATTTTATGATAAGTTTAATAAAATTATGACATATGTATTTATTATAAGTTTTTATGGCAACTAAGGTTAGGAAATGTAAATATTTTAAAATATTTATGGACCCTATGGGTTATAATTGATGATTTAAAAGTAATTTCGCTTCTTCATTTCATATACAAAAACATTTTTCATTTTGTCATCGTAATTTGTCTTCAAAAATATATGCCATTTCAATAATGGAATGAATGGGTATTTTGTTAATCAAATTTTAATTTTTGTCCTCCTATAATGGCCCTTGTAATACATATTTCATAAACATAACTTTTTGATAAAAAGCGAAATTACTTTCCAAATAAAAATTGTGAATGAATTCTTTTACAAGTTCATAATATAATTACAAAAACAAACAAAACATTAAAACTTAAATTTTCCAGGATACTATTAATTCTATGGGAGAATCAAAAGTAAACAATTTTTACTCAAAATACTTTATTTCAAATTAGAAATTCACCCCATTCTCCCATTTCAAATTAGAAATTCACCCCATTCTCCCATTTCAAATTAGAAATTCACAAGTATCCGGTTTTATTTTTGAAAAGTGATTTTTAGGTCTAGTGTTATTTTGATAACATCTTTCATCTTTGGATGGAACAAAAATTGTTGAAAAAATTGCAAGTCCCTAATCATATTTTATGCTTATTCAATATTTTTAAAAATATATAATTCAAGGCAAAAGCTTAAAAATACAAACGTTATTTGCAGTTTTTATTCATCGTGCTTTTGCGTTTTGTTATTTGTAGTTTTTCATAAACAATTGGATTTAATAAAAATTATTTACTTCAAAAATACTTAATTGTTTTGTAAGAAAATTAATTGTTTTGAAGAAAAAAAAAACAAAACAACAAAAACATAATAATTTTTTCGGTATTCCATTAAAATCATACCTAAACTTCCATATGATGATGTTTTTCTTTCTCTATTACTATTATCATGACCAGAACTTCTTAAAAATTCCATTAAATTTGAATCATCTTCTTCTGGAAGTGCTCTACTTCTTCTTCTTCTTAAACTACCATTTGGTGTAACATCTGGTGATAAACCATCATCTCGTATTATATTTGAATCACCATTACTATTAAATGAACCAATGCGCCGTCTAGACATTGCAGGACTACAGCGTGGATCAAATGATGGATCAACAAGTAAAAAGTTTTCTGAATCAGAAACTGGTGTTCCGCATTGGCTCACTAAAATTGTAAATATATAATGAAATTTTTGTTTTTGAAGTGGTCCTTACTTTAAATAAATTAATATGATATATATACCTTGTCTTGTTTTTCGAGCTATCAACTCTTCACGTTGTTTCCGTCTTATATTAGCTTGTTCCTCTTGTACACGTCTTTTTTCATTTTCCTTAATAGCTTGTTTAAATTTCTCACAGAATGTTTGGAAAATTTTAATACATTCTTCAATTTTAAATGTGGATGGATCTTCACAAAAGAAGTCAGCTAATTTCATTCTCATTAAATCTACATCTTTCATTCCACGTTGTAATAAAGCTACCTCACGTTCAGCCGCCTTATTAAAATATAAGTAATTAAATAAAATTTAAATATATTTTTTTTTTAAGTAATTTATTTATAAACCTGTAGGAATTCCATCATTTGGTCTTTGATGTCCCTTTCAGTTGTGGGGAGTTCAACCTGTTTTTTTATTTTACAAATTCGACTATCTAATGCATTTATTTCGTTGTTAATTTGTTCGGATGTAGTCCTATTAAATAATATTTACATAATTTTCTATCGTTATCTTAAAATATTAATTTTTTTTAATTACTTTGAAGCATTATCTAATGCGGTCATTTGTGCTGGGAATTCTAACAATTTTGGATTTTTTTTTTCACATTGTAATGCCACAAAATGAATTAAATTCATTCCTGGTTTATTTGCACGTATATCAGTTAGCTTTTGTAAAGATGATAATTTTACACCTGCAGCATTACCGGCATAACCACCAGAATTCAAGAAATTTCCAGCAACAACGATCATGTACAAAACTTCTTGAAGTAATTTGTTATTCATGAGATCTAAAAATTGACGAATGAGATTTTTTGTTTGCGTATTATTAATGAAAATTGTTACTTACCATCACCAGCAAATAATATTGCTGTTATACAAGGCTCAAGATAAGTGATATTTGATGCGAATTCCTCTTTCAATAACATACTTTCTATTCTCAATTTATAACTATTGATTTGAAAATTATTTTATATAATTAATTTTAATATTTTATAATGATAAATAAATTACTTTGGTACTCGTAACAATTGCATTAAAAATTTCTCAGCATTTCCTAAACGATTTTTATCACCACTAAAATTTCTTAGCATATCTAATTCATCTACTTCTGGTAAGATTTTTAAAAGACCGCGAAGTTTTTCTGCTCCAATATCATCATGTGCTCCATTTTTAATTAATTCTATAATATCCTCATTAGATCTAAAAACAAGAAAAATTATTTATCTTATAAAACTCTGATCAGTGAATTTGATATAAATTTACGATCTAAATTGCTTAAGGAAAATATTGACGTTTAGACTTCTTTTTCCATCTAACAAGGTTATCTAAAATGTAAATTTTGAAACATTAGCTTTAAAATATTAAAATACATCTGGCAAATCAAATATACTTCAGAATTTTCTTTTTTTGTTTTCCTATCTAATGTGTCTGTACAATCTCTGCCTAATTTTGGTGATCCTTGAATATTATTGGCTAAGCAAAACAGTCCTTCCATTTCATTCCAATCAATGTCAGTTTTTGAACGACCTTGATGTTGATCAGCTACCACCGTCCATATATTACGTTTTCCAATAACTTTATTTGGTGGAATTTTATTCCAATTAATTGTTCTCATTTTGGCTTTTGGTGCTGGCGTTTCTTGTTGTGGTAATAATATATGCTGATCATTTGAATTCATCATATCAGGTGTTTTTGGACGATTAAAATGATGTGGCGCGGATGAATGTAATGAAAGAAAATTTGGTGGAGGAGCTGGTGGTGGTGGTAAGCCATCACGTGACATATAGTAACCATCATTTTTAAATTGAGCTGGTAATGGAGGTGGTGGTGGCGCACCAGTTCCAATTTGTTGTCCAGGTGGTGTTGGTGGCGGCGGTGGTGGTGGTGGTACCGTGACACATTGATTATATGATTGAGATTTATTATGATTATCACCCGTTGATAATGTATTATATGATACTGAATAATTATTGGGAATAGATGATGAATTATGTTGATTATTATGAGTATTATTATTGTTTGGTGTTATTGTTGTTGTCGTTAATAATATTGAACCTTTACGACTTGAATGGGATGTTGTCACAGTATCATTTCCATTTGTTGTATTATTTGTATTTGTTGTGCTATTATTACTGCCACAGCTTTGTATACCGCGACAATGTGGACAATGAATAAATTTTTGTATACTTGGAGTACGTAAAAGTCTTGTAGCATCATCATGATTTTCTAAAAGTGTAGCACGATGAACTAATTTTTCAGTTGTATCCCATATAATATCACTAACAGATTCTTTTGGATCAATTCGTAATAAATGTTGTAATATACTTAAAAATGGAATTTCCTGTGGCGTATCAGCCACCTAAAAAAAAATTTTTTTAAAAGAAAATTTTTTTAATTATAATAATTTTTAATAATTAAAGTATTTTGTTATTATAATTCAGGATAGCTCACCTGCCGTAATATGGCATAAAAGACATCAAGATGTGAATTTAAATTTATTCCATTTGGTCCTTGTAAACTCTGTGCTTCGTCGCATTCCCTTTGTTCGTCGAATACGTCCAATTGTACAATGATATCTCCAACGTTGTGATAGATTCGTCTAAAATAAATAATAAATTTTTTTAATATTTTCATATTTTGCTTCATTATAATTAAAGTTGGAATATTTTCCTACTTATACTTGTTTAATTTGGCTCTCGACATAAATATTAAACGTTTTACTAAAAGTATTTTCTAGAAAAATTGCAAAACTATGAGATTTTATAAGATCAATTAATAAAATATTAATAAAACTTGACAATAAAAAAAAATCAATAATAATTTTAAAAATTTATAACTACCTACTAAAATTTTATGAATGTTCTGAGTAAAACTTCTTTTTAAATAATATTTTCCGATTCAATAACCTTACAAGTACATTTATTATTAATACTAACATAATTAAATTCTAAGTCAACAATATTTGTATAACAATTCCCTTTAGATTTCGATAAAAATTTTGGAAATAACAAAATAATCACACCTTGTATAACTTTATTCTAAATGGCTTTCAAATTTAAGCAAATCAAAGAAAAAAAACGTAGATAACTTACCTACCTAAAGGTAAAAAGAAAATATAAAGGTTAAGGTGACGGAAATAATATATGTATAAGCATGGGCAAAAGCATAGCCAAAATTATAGGCAACGGCATACAGGCATAGACATACAATAAAATTGTATTTTTTTTTCAAACTTTTGGCTTCCGATATAATTATATCCTTGTAATAAATCTTATGTGTGTGTGTATTATTTGCAATTACAATTTCAAAAATAGGAAATTCATTAATAATTTACTTAAATCCTCTAATTTTTAATAGTATTCTATAATATTTATAAAGAATGTTTTTATGCATGTCCTACTAGGTTATTATTAATAATGAATAGATTCTTTGCTTATAAATGTTGAATAATTAATTCAAAATTCTTTAATTATCTCATAGTCCTTAATTGCAAAAAAAAATTATAATATAAAAACAGAAAGTCATTAATTTAATTTTTTTTTTGTATTGTCAAGGACACATTACATACATACATGTATGTAGGATATGTATGTACATTGAAATGCCTCTGCTGCTACCTTATAATGAAATGAAGCATGAAATTATTATAATTTTTTTTTTATATCAGAAAAATTTTACTTACTAAAACACTTTCACTGAGGAAAAAACAATTTACTGATTTTATTTGAAATTTGATTAATTTTATAGTTTTCTAAATAAATTTTAATAAAATTATTTTTTTTTACTGGAATTCCTGATTTTATATCCCCTTTTTTTTGTTTTTGTAAATTTATGGTTGGTTTAACTTTTAAAATGTAAATTATATTGGTACACTTGTAAAATTTATTTTATAACATTAATTAATTATATAGGTGCACGTACATATGTATTAAAACAACATTTATTTAATCTATATATTTGGATGTGTAGTTAAGTATAACTTAAGTATATATTTACATTTAATTATAAAGTGCCTATATAAATCCAAAAAGGATACGATTATATTATTATGTATATAAATTTTTTTCTTCAGATATATTTATATTGAATTTTAACACAATATTTTTAATTTAAAATAAGAAGCACAAAAACAAATATTTTGTTCTGATATTTTTTCACAATACAATATGTAAATGTAATTTAAATTTGGATGGCTATAGAAGAACACATTTAATACTAGAAATACAGAAGAATTTAATATAGAAAATTTTTTCTTTAATTTTATTTTGAAATTTTATTTTTTTTATTGAAAAAAATTTTTGATATTTTTTATAATACATATATAGATTTCTTAAAAATTTTATTATATGTAGATAAATATTGAAGGTAATAACATGAAAAACTGACATAAGAATAGCAAAAAATTGCCTTTATATACGAATTTAGTATATGAAATATATATACATCAAAGTTTAAAAGGCCGATTGTGCACGTGGTGCGTGCGCATTATCCAAAACAATATTTTATATTATTATATAAAATACAATAATAATAATGAAAATAATGAAGTTTAAAACAAATGCCATCTGTTGGAAATTTTTTGATAAAGTGTTAATTTTGAAAATTACCGGCACTTAATTTTAAAATTTAGAAAATTTTGAACACAATTTAATGTTGTGCAAATAAAATAAATATTAAAATTTAAATATAACTTCAATTGCAAGTGATTTTTCATAATTTTTGACAGCTATTTCTGACGTAACTACGTTACGTTAGTTGAAATTTTGTGACAACTATATTATATAAGTGTCAATTAAATTCTGAATTAAATAATATAATTAATATGTTTATTGAATCGGACTTTAACTTTTTAAAATTAAAATTTTTTTTTTTAATAAACAGTGATTTTACTTTAAAATAAGTAATTTGCATTTGTCAACTTCTGTTTACTTTTACATTTCAAGTTATTCTTCTTTTTTATTTATTTTCATGAAATTGACATCAAGTTAAGAATATTGTAAAGTTATCTAAAGCAACTTGTCTAATTTGTCTTTTTCTAATTCGATTCTAATTTATCTGGTATATTGCTAAATTTTAAAACAGCATTAAAATTAATTAATTATTTATACTATATTAATTAGATTTCAATTTGTATTTAATTCCTTATTTATAATAATTATATAATTAATTATTGAAATTCAAACTTACCTTAAATTATTCAGCACCGGTAAAATTTTTAAACCTAAAATGAAAACAAAAAAAAAAATTATCACATTATAAAATATTCGAGTTGAAATGTTAAATTTAAATATCGTCATTTACATACATAATATATGCAAATAATTAAATTCTTAATCAAAACAAAAAAAAAAAAACTATAGGCGCCATTGAATAAGAACTATTATAAACTAATTTTGTTAACGTCAATTAATTTAATTATAATATTAAATTAAATTTTATACATGTTTAACGTATAATTGTAACATTCGATTTAAGTGTAAGAATTTCTTCGTAAATTATTTTTAATTAAATTTTTCTTGTAGTATAATTTTTTTTTGATCATATGTTAAAAATTTTCTTAAATACAATGGACATGACATTTGAGTATCATGACATTTTATGTCTAATATTATAAGTATGTAAGTAGGAATTGTGTTTATATACAAATAAATATAAAATCACTTTGTTTACAATTATTATTAACATAAACTTTCCCAACAAAAACCGTTCGTATGCAGATATAATTTGAGTTTTGTTTTAAAGGGAAATGTGTGAACATAAGGCGGCTATTTATTTTTAATTTTTTGCTAAAAAAACTTTTGTTCCGTCTTTTATCGCACTTCAAACCTCAACTTTTATGTTATTTTGCAAAAAAATAAACGGGCCTATAATTTTAATATAACCAGCACTCATAAATTTTACATCATATTAAGGCTCGCTTTTTGTACAGCTTACAATGACACATATCATAAAACACCCTGTCATTTAAGCAATATGTTTTGTTGGAATTGTTTATAAAGCTTTTGTTTTTAATTCATATATGTTCAATAATATTGTAATATTTATGTTCATACATAGATAATTAAAAATATGTAAAAAGAGTGCTGATACATACATTTGTATATTCATAGAAATTACGTTTTACGATTAATAAAATACATAACTATGTATATGTCGTACAATTTTACTAAATCTTACACTTAACTGATATTACTTATAACCAGGAGGCATATTATGTATTTCAAAATTAAAATATTAATTATTTACTTTATAAATCAACATATTTTTGATATTATTTTTACCTACTACTCTATTTATTTGTTTTTTTTTTCAACATAAATAAAACAAAATTAAAAAAACAAATAAATAAAATTTTAATCTGTTTACCTATAAATTCATTTCGGATTCTAAGACGTTCTTGGAGGTCAGCTGCTGATATTATAACACAATTTACAAATGCTAATAAAGCCACTTGATATTCAACAACTGTTGTTCTTTCTAATTCAATTACAACAATTTTAAATCGATATCGGCAGCGTTTAAGATTCTAAAATGAAAAATAAAAAAAATAAAAATATAATATTATTCTTGAAAATAATATTTATTTATGTAGCATAAAAATATAAATCTATGTGTGGATGTTAATAGGTGTTTACTACTGTGCTAAAGAAATGACGTATACAAAATATTTGGTTTTCTACTACAATTATTAATAGTTTATTTTTCAATTATGAAAATATTTATGAAATAATAATAATGTATTCAATATAATAGAAATAATAAGGTGTTAATTAAAAGAATAATCAAATTAATTATTAAGAATAATCAAATTATATATTCTAATTTTTTATTTTATATATTGTTTTGAAAAAGTATTTGACAAATTAAATAGTGAAAGTAAAATTTGCAACATTAAAACTATGAAGGTCGTTTATTTAATATTTCAAAATTTGGAAAATTTTTTAATAAATTTTAATATTTTAAGTTGAATAAAATATATTAATTTGAATTTTTAAATAACTGATGCAATTTGTATTTTAATTAAATTTATTGTTTTATGGTATGTTGTAAACTCCAAATTTTATTTCAAACCTTCACATCTATTAAAATCCAAGAATTTTAATATAAAAAGATAAAGAGTTAAATAGCATGTGAAATTAAAGAGGTGTTTGAAATTAAGTTTAAATGAGGTAGAATAAAATTGCGAAATGATATTCCTAATGTCATTATATAGGATTATTTTACCTTATAAAATTCTAATGTTTCTATTGCTCTCGTATATCCTTCAGAATTATATGCACATAATGCTGATAATAATTCAAAAACTTGTTTTTTAACTATTGTATTATTTGTATCTAATGCTGCTCCTAATTTTGATACATATTCACGATTTTCAACGATATAATCTAAACCAATCCTTGAATCCATATTTTTTAGTCAATTATAAACAAATAATTTAAAATTATTTTAATATTTCTGTCTTAGTTTAAGTAATTTGAAATTTCACTATGTATGATATCCTTATGTTTCACCAACTTTTCTTCTCGATATAGTTCTGAAATTATAAAAATATTAAATTATTTTTAAAATTAAATATTATGTTTATTTAAAAAAAATATTTATTTAAAATAAGGATATTTAAAATTATTCGTTAAAATTGTTAAATTTTAAGAAGGTCCCAGCAACATCAGTAAATTATAATTAACTTATTCCTAATTTTTAACATAATGTGGAAATACCATAAAAATTAATATTCTAGCATAAAATATTGTACTTCATATTGTTTTAGGCTCTAAATTTTTTTGTTTTCAAGTTAAAATGTAAGATTTGTACGTAAGTATTTTGTTCGTTATTTAGCTTTGTTTTATTATTGTTTAATAACTGAATTTGTTTTTAAAGATACGGTAACAAAAATAATAAAAAAAAAATATTTTTGAAAATGCTGTATGCGTTTGCAATTCAAACTTAGAATTAGAACTGAATTGATTTTAGCAGCAAAAAACAACGACTACAAATACTTTAATGTTGCTACTGCTTGTAGTAAACAAAATGTTTGCAGCTGTTAAAGTACTATCGCAATCGTATATGAATAAAATTATTCAATTCTTCATTTTCTATAGCACTTAAAATATTTATTGAATATATAAAAATTTAAAAACCCAAAATACAATACTTTATTTAATAATTCATGTAATTTTCCGTAATTTTATGTTTCTAATTTAAAATAGTAAAACTAAAACAGCGTATTTGCGATTTTCGAATCTTCCAACATTTTACGTTTTTTATTTACAGTAGCAAAATTAAAACTGAGTGTTTGCAATAAATTTTTGAAAATTTTAGTTTGCAGTTGTAGTTTAAAAAAATATTCTCAAAACATTGCTGCATTTTCAAAATTATCAAATTTACTGTAAGTTGAGTACTACATTAAACTTAACTAAATAAACGTATAAGAAATTGATATTGACTACACAAGATTTTTAAAATAATTTTATTTTTAAAATTAAACTCTTAACTATTTTTTTTTCCACTTTTCTTTTTAAATCTATACACTTATTTACATATTAATTTGCAATATTTTTCGATTTTACCTCCAAAAAATATTTACTTATATATAATTAAAATTTTTACACCTTGTTTTAGTGCGGGTAAAATTGACTTTTAACAAAGCTTATAACATCGCTAAGAAAATCAAATAGACGATACCATTCTGCAAAACTACAACACAACTATAAATAAAGGCAGGTGGAAATAAAATGTTTGTATGTCTCTAATACATTTTTATGTATGTTTGTATATACATATTTAATTTTAATATTAATATATCTTACTAAATTGTTGTTTTCTTTTTTATTTTTTTAGTTTTTTTAAATAAAAAGCATGCAAATTATGGTGAATTGCGAGGTCACACACAACATTATGATGAGACAACGACGACATTGTAATTTATTTCTATATATTACTACATATATGATTTTGCTCATAATTTATATTTTCATCAGCAAGCAATAATCTTAGAGAGCAAAAACAAAAATTTTTGTATGAACAATGAACGTAAACTTTAAACATAACTAGAAATGGAAATAATTATAAGATGAAATTGTGACTAAGATTTTCAATCCATTTTTTTTTATTATTCTTAAAAAAATGCTTTATTCATTGAATTTATTTATTGGAAATTAATTTTTAAGTGATTTATTATGTTGATATTTTAGAAAATTTAGAGATATGCACGTAAATTTATTCATTAAGAATTTTGTAATTATTAATGAATATAATTATTGTAAATTGTGTATTCAAATGTACATTTGGTTATAAAAATTCTTATTCATATTTAGGCATTTAGTATATAAATCAAATTCAACATAAACACTAAACCACATACCTATATATTTACTAAGAAGAAATTACAAAATAAAAAATTAACTATTTTGAATACGGAAATAATATAAAACGTGTCGAAATCAAATATAATATGTTTATTATCCGGAAATAGTGGGAAATGATCTATATGTTCATATATAGGTAAAACAAAATTGATTTTTAAAAATTACAAGAAATAAATCATTGTATGTCATCTGCATGGAACAAAGCAAAATTGTTATATACAAAGTAAGATAAAATGTCCTTGCCAGCCAATAATTTAATAAAATATTTATCATACCAATTCAGTCCAAATTTACTGTACACATAGCGTATAATTAATTTTATGTATGTATATAAGTATAAGCATAACTTTAATAAAAATGTGTACATGAGTACGTATGAGTTTCACTAGTATATCTTGTTGGATCAGGAAAATTGTTTTAGTAGAGACAATTTTGCTCCGAAGTTCCTATGATATGCTTATTTTCCTATATGCTTTTGCGGAAGCTTTGCCATAGAATTTGCAGCAAAAAACTTAATAGGTACTATTTTGCTTTTCTATTTTTATTTTGTTTCTTTACAGTTTTTTGGAAATACCAAAACGTTTTTGCTGGCAAAACTACTTTTTGTTTAGTTCTTACCCAGTGCATTGTTTTTTTGATATATAAGAATTAAGTTGTTAAGACTGGCAATGAAACTTTTTTATTTAATGATTTTTCTTTAGTTTTTGATTGCATAACGTAGGGAGGAATGTCTTTGTGCTATTAAAGTTTTTTGAAAAAGAAGAAGAGTTTTGAATGGGACTGTGATAGATTTCCGGAATAACCTCATTTAGACTTTTATTCAAAGAAATAATTGCTTATACTTCAAGAACAAAGTTTCAGTACAGATAAAAAAATTTGCAAATTATCAATATGTTTAAATAATAAGCGGATGTTTAATAAGCGAATTCGATTATTTATGTATGTGTGTAGATATATGTATAAATTCCAAAAATTAATACAAAATTTATTGATTTCAATCCGTTAAATTATAGTTAAAAATCCACTTTATAAATTATTTATTAAAAAAATTTAAATATATATATATATTCACAATAGATACTTATATAGTTTGTACATACAGGTACCATAAATTTCTTCAAACAACTATTCAAGTTCAATATTAAATATTTTTGTAGCTATATGCGAAATGAAACCTTAAATTTTTTCGAATATATTTTTATAATATTAAGTTAGATGAACTTTATTCAACCGAATAAACAATAAATTTTTATATTTATGATAAAATCATTTTTAAATTTCATATACTTAATCTTCAATCAAGTATATGTATAAATATTTATTAATTCAATAATAATTTCATATACAGTTCTGAAATTTGGTTTAACAGTGAGTAGTGACGTGTTATGTGGTTCTTTTAAAACAAAACACCAACACTGAAAAACCAAAATGTAAAAAAAAAGCAAAAAAATTAAAAATAAATTTAATAAGAACAAAGTATAGAAAAGTTCAAGAAATCAAGCCATACAGGAAATACCAATTATACAACAATTGTTAGAAGTTGTCAATAAGTTTTCCATTCAATTCATATGAAATTCTTTATTTTTCACATTTTGACTAATATATATTTGAACATACGCACATACACATATGTGTATTATTAATTTATTTACAATTACACATTATATGAAGATAATATGCATGTGTGCACATTACTTCTTTTTTTTCTATAATGACTATATACATATACTTATAACCTTCATGAATTTTAAAATTAAAAAAGGCCTGGCCACTTTGAAATTATTGTTTTATTTAAAATAACATTCAACATTTTGTAAGAAAAATGTAAATTATCAATTTCTCAGATTATCTGTAAAATTTAGCAGAGATATTTTTCAAGCACTTTTCCTAAAAAAAAATTTGAAAAAAAAGTGTTGATTAGTTTCTCTTCGTCTTTCCGTCCGTCCGTTCCGTTCGTGTGAAGCAAAATATTAGCAGATACTAATAAATAGTTTATTTCGTTGGAAGAAAATGTTTTCTCACTTCTATCCTCTCTGAAGCTATCGCCTCTTAAATTTTGTACAATTTGAATTTTTGGTATTTTATATTATTTCGAAACTGTAAGCTTTTCCAAATTTTTATAAATCCATAAAGTTCAATTGAAGTTGAACTTCCATTATACCCTGTTTTACGACTAGTGTATAACAAGTCCCTGTTCCTGTTTATAGAATTTATGGAATGTATTTCACCCCTTCGGACCAACATAGAAGAATCCTTTGAGCTTTTAAACCTGCTAAATAGCGTTCTATTAAGTTATATAATTATTCATATTATTTTACGCAATTAACCTTTTGAATTCAATAATTTTGTAAACGCCTTTTTAATTTTTTTTTTTGCCTCATCCTAAATGTATGCAATCATTTGAAATATTTTGTTGTATGAATGGAGCTAATTTAAATATGTAATGTAATAGATTGTTTTTAAAAGCAATATTATTTGCTCAAATGAAAAGTGCTGCTTTATAAACCATTGGTTAAACTCAAACTTATTTCTTTAATACTTTAAATACACACACTTTGTTTTATCTTTTATTTCTCACCGCCTACACTTTACAACCTACTATATTCGATACTCTTTTAATGATTTTCGATTGAATTTGATATACATACATATATGTATGTATGTATATATTGAAATATTTCATTTGCTATTTTGTTATAAGCGTTTTTTTTAAATGTATGTATGGAAATGTTCATAAAAAACAAAAGAAATATTCATATATAAAAATCTACAAATATAGAATTTCAGCATAAATTAGAATTTTAAATTTTTTTTTTCTGAAAAATTAGAATATACTTAATTAAGAAGAAGAAGAAGAGTTAAAAATGTTTTGTATAATGAACCTGATTTTTGCTTTTTCTTAAGAACGTTATCTTAAATGACTAAATGCCATTAAATGCGCAAAGATTTGAATTTAAAAAAAAAATTCAATTTTTAGAATTTTTATTAATTTTTTTTTTAAGAATTATTGTTTTTTGGTTTTGTTTTCCATGTTGTTTTTACAAAATCTGTAATTTGGCAATCCCACCTGTAATTTATAATCAAATCATAATAGGATTTTATGAGGATATAAAACATAATTTTAATAAAAATTCATTTAAGTATAATAAAATTTATGTTATTATATTGT